ATTTTGCATATGCAACGATGAAAGAAAAAAGCCTCAAGTACACTACAGCTACATAAGAAAAAAAAAACAAACAAACTTTTCCAGCAGAAGTAAGATTTGAACAAGATTTTTTTTTTTTTTAACCAAATTCACCTTTCTTGCTGCTTCCCCCCTTACTAAAATTACTCACATGGGAATATAATTTTGCAACTTGTGGATGTTCAAAACAGTGAAGCGTGACTATGAGATTATTACTAAGCTGGAACATTTCTGAAACAGTAGTCTGCTCTTAGGAAATTGAAAGTATACTGGGTCCATCAGTCTTTAATGTTGGAGAATGAAAGACTTGTCCCTCCTGGCATGTTACAAGTGGGTTGTGAACCTTACTTTAATCCCTGGCTTTCACTTTATTAAACTCCTTAAACACTTATGTAAATATATCCATAAAAGCCTCCAATCTCATACACAGAGCAAACAGTGCTGTCCGTTTTGCATCCTGCCTTGCCTCATTTGCAACCAAGTCCAAGTTCCCCCTCAACATGGAGATACCACTGGAGACACTCAGATGGCTACAACAGGAATTACAGGCTCCTCTCTCAGTTACAACAGCAGCCATGAAATTAGGAGTAATCTCTAACAGATTTCACATGCAAAAAAGCTTCCATGCCTATATCATCAGCTTCCAGTACATCTTCCAGACTGATTTATTATGATTTGTGAATAAGGCCTTCCCATTTTACCTGTATCTATCTTTTGAAAGTAGTCAATCCATAAAAACTTGTTGACATAAATGGGAATTCAACCCTTCTCAAATGAAAAACAAACTGCTATAAGGTGTGGTTTCTGAGAAATAGGTCCCTCCACAGAAAGAAGGCTGGAATTTCTAGTATAATTATCCTCTGAAAACAGAATAAAGCTGTACAGTATGTAATTTATGCTCTGTAGAAATAATTATGGGCAGGGAAAATTAAGAGTGGACAGGCATCTTTGTTCCCTCTATTGGGTCAGAGAATTTGCTTATTAAATATTTTAAACAATACTGCATTTGCACAGGACCTTGCCTCAGACCATCTCAAAACTTTCTATAAGCATTCAGCAATTAAGGTTCATCTGCCTTATGAAACTGATATTTATCTTTTATTTTTATACACATAAAGAAGCTATTGCTTGGTTTGATTTGACTATGTGGTACTATGTCTCTGCTGTTCCAAAGGAACATACTTGCAGCACCTCACAATCATGAGACAGGGCAAGAGGCTATAATAATTCCTTTGTGCCTATAATAAACCTGCAGCTGAAGAAAGAAGTGACTTACTCAATGTCAAATGAGAAGAACCTGTAAAGGTGCAAGGAAATATGTAAATTGGAGAAAATTAGGCAAGGGAATTTCAGCATGCAGCTCAGTATCTAATGCTGCTTTTTGAGGTCCCTCAAAGCCCAATCAAAAGAAAAGGTGAAGAAAAAGAAAAATGCCACAAGAAGCCTTTTATAGTCAAGGAAATTCTATTTGCCAAGACATTTCACCAGTGCAAGCTAAAGACTCCTGCATGTCAGACCTGCTTTCCAGATAGCTGAGCCTCTTGGAGATATATCTTACATACCTCTGTTTGTGATTAAGCTTTCCTTCTCGGCATCACTGTTACAAACTTGTCATAAATAAACCACACTTTTATACCCAGGAATAAAAACAACTATAACATCACACTATCGGGTTTGGTGATATTCATTGTATCAAGATGACAAAAAAATCAAAGAAAAAAACATCAAGAGATATGATGAGGAAGTTATTTTATTTTTAAACAGAGACAAATTAATTAATATTGCTACCCTACAGCTGCCAGAGTAAGTCTAGTTTCAGCACAACCAACCAAATTGTGTTTGATTTTTTACACAATTTTTTCCAGTAACCTGCTACTCTTTAAAGGCTAAAATTCTAACAGTTTTTGATAGGGGCTTTCTGTAATTTATCATAATTCACGAAGCAACAGTCTTCATGGATGCTGTTTCATTAGGACTGGTACTGGGTGAAAATAAATACATGGTAGATCTACCTTTCTATGAGATAAGGTTGCAGGAACACACTGGAACACAGAGACTAGGATCTGTTGGACTCAACATTTTATTCACTTGCTGTTACTCTGAGCCTACTCAGCTCTGCAAACCCACTTCATACACCTCATTTTAAGACGGACCAGAGACTCCTTTGCAGCAAGTTCCTGCCTTCCTGGGTTTCCAGAGTGTCAGACACAATGCGGTTCTGATCCACGGTCTGTGAATTAAATTGGGTTTTGTGAGCAACTCACTACTGAGTTCAACAAGAGCAGCAGTCAGCGTGCATTAATAGCAGTTTTGTTCTGTGACACGCTGAAATACAAGTGCAAATTGCATAGCTGGAGTATGTTTACATTTCTGCTGTCGACTGGTGCACTCCAAGTGACTCGCTCTGTCTGTCTCTCAATGGATCTATTTATTCAGGCCCGCATACAAAATGCAAAATTCTTTCCCATTTCTTGATAGCTTATAATTACATTAAAATGTCTTTCTCAAGAAATGATTTTTTTTTTTTAAAAAAAAAAAGGGGCATAGCATTAATTCACAGTTTTACAGAAGTGACTGGTTTTGTTCTTGAGTATTTAAGTATAAAGAATCAGTTATTTCCCCTTCCTTAAAAACATCACTTCACTAGAGAAGAAGGGTGCTTCCAAGTCCCAAGCTCAGAAGACCGGGTGGTTTGGCAAGGCAGACTTAGAGGCATGAAGGAAGATGTTCCTACTCCCATCCCTACAACTCTCCCCCCCATGCTCTCTCTGGCCTGTCTAGTTCTCCTAAATTCCTTTCGTTCACCCCACCTCTTCCCTGCAATCCATTTTGCTTCCCCCTTTCTCCAAGCAGAAAAATGCAGGTTTCTCTACGCTGCTGGGAAACTTCTGAGCTGAGGCTGCACAATGAGGGATTATTTCAAACTATCCCCTACATCTTGCAAGGTGCCACAAGAATCAAAATATCAGTTTATAAAGTTATGTGCTAACACAGATTACGGTACTACAGTTAAGCACCCGTACACACGTAATACTGTCTATATATTTTGCCCTCTATACATACAGTTTGACTTTACCTGTTACTGTTCCCCATCTCCCAAAACTGCATAAGCTTTTCTTTGAAAGAAGTATCACAAAGAAAAGAACATCTACGGGAAAGT